ACTCCTACACAGCTCCAGATTTCCAACACAGGCGAAAGACTGTGACAGCTCAGCTTGCAGCCCCTGGAAACCCTGCAGAAAAGCCCCAGAGAAAACCATCCTCCTTACAGCAGGCTGCTGTCTTCAGTGTTTTACTGGTTTCCATCATGAGAGGCGTGCTGCATCAGCTCTGTCTGAGTCGTGTCTAACATAAGGGTGCAAAATCCTCCTTAAACCTTTCGTCTGAACAGACAAATTTGTAAATTGAGCAAAGAGTTGGTTCAAAGTTGGCCCACTCAGCATCACACATGTAGTTAGAAAATGTCAGATACAGCAGATACAACCCTGACTGAGCTTGTGTTATTTTTGGTTTGATTGCACCATGCAGACATCAGGTCAATCAAAACTGATAGAGTAAATTCACCAAAAACTGTTGCAAAGCAGCTACTTTCTTTATTGTTTCTGCTCATGAAAAATGAAAATTTCAGCTCTAAACCTTCAGGAAAACTTTAATCGATGGGATCTATCACATGTTAACATGTCAGCATAAAAAGACAGTAAAATCCTCTGCTAGTCCTCATCCTCCAAACTACCCCATTTTTCAACATGATGCACCATGACAACCAATGTTTTTAAGAGGACTTTACACCTACCAAGAGCTGAGTGTAGAATTTAAGATGCCTACATTGGAACCGTCTAAAACTGATGCAACACCTAAAATTTAAGCAAAGGAGAAACATCAGCTTCAAGTTAGAAATTAAAAGTGCAGTGAGGAACAAAGTGACCCTCTTTTCTCTTATCATGTACATGCCAGAGCAGTGTTTTAAGACAAAACCTCCTCCTTTTATCTTTAGTTGCTAAAATATTTCACACACTGTGAGTAGATGTCATTAAAAAGGCGCTGATATAGTGAACAAAAAACTAGTAAACGAAAAATTAGTTTTACAAGTTAAGTTTTTTTGTGCACAAGTAGACCTTACTAGTAAAGTAAAACTGTCTATTAGTAGATCATTGTAAGTTACTAGTATTACTAGTAAAGCTTTGAGTTTTTACTTGTAACAAGTTTTTGGTTTACTAGTAGGCTACTACTAGTAACACACATATTTGTCTACCAGTAGACAACTGTCTATTCGTAGACAATTTTGCTTTACTAGTAGGGTCTACTTGCGAAATAGTGCACCAAAAACCTAAACAAGTAAAACAAAATTTGAGTTTACAAGTAATACTAGTAAACTCCAAATATATCACTAGAAATACTAGTGAACTGTTCTAAGTATAGTTGCTGTACTAGTAAAACCAAGAGATTTCCTACTAGTATTAGTAGACCATGCAAAAAAGTAGGAGGGATAATAAGCAAATCCAGCACCCGATTAGTTGTAATATTTTTAAAAGCCAATGGGAAGCCTGAATTCGCTGTTTCCTGCCCTTTTATCAGCATATAAGGATAACTTGTAGTAGTAGTGACCTTTTTTTTCCAATATAAGGATCAGGAAGCAAATACAGGGGAGATGTGCTCTCTTCTCCGAGCTCTGGTCAGCACGAGGAGTGCAGGAGAAGCTGTGGGATGAATTTAAGCAAGGGTAAATTGGTTACACTATTCAGAAAATTCTCAAGGCTGGATCTTATAAGACTCATAATGACTTTTTTTTAAAAACTCTTTAGGAGAAACAGGACAGATAAACAGGATTTTAGGATTTAGATATTTATGCTTCCCTTTTTGCCTATCTTGTTCTAATATCCAGTCCACAAGGTGGCAGTAATGCACCCTTAAGCTGATTGCCAACCAACAAATAAATGTTCAAAAAGGAGGGGAGTGAGAACCTGGGTAAAGTGAAGCTGGATCTCTGTGGTGGAAGGCAATGGAGATAAAGAAAGAAGACAGAGGGCAAGTCACCAGAAAAAGCACCAGAGATTTAAAAATTAAAAAAAAAAATCACCTAAAAGGATTTTAAATAGCAAATAGTACAGACACTTGCCAACAATACCACTATGTCAGTGGCAATCACAGGCCAGAGTGGCAGAGCAGAGCCGCACCTGGAGAGTGTGTGATTAGGTTCAGGTGTGCGCCAAGAAGCAAGAGCCAGCGTCTGAAAGAAAACACACAGGAGAGAACACCAGAGTGAAGGTGCACAGGTAATAAACACTATGACTATTTATGATATAAATCATTAAAGTTTAATCATTTGCCCAGGTTAGTCTATAAACATTTAAGAAATAAAACATTATCTCAGTCACATGGACTTGATGAGGGTTGGTAGTGTGTGCTTGTATATTCTGGTTTTTAACAGTCACTGCTGATTAAGATGTGAGTGTTTCATTCTTTTGCTATCAGTGAAGGGATGTGGTCATAGCACGTCACTTTGTCTCAGGCCAGTCATTAAACAGGGTTAAAAAGGAGGCAAGCTCACACAATTTTTAATTCATGTCATGGAGCCAAAACATAGTGATTATTGGTTACATGATCACTGTCAAGTAATTCTGGGATATGGCAAACACACTCACTCACGGCGCATGCTACAGATTTGTAAACCAATAAGCTGATGAGCTCTGTGATGGCAGGAAGGGTGAAATATGTAAGCTACTGAAGATGGGAAACTTACTGTGATGTAATAATTCCATGAGTTGCTATCAGTCAGGTGTGTGTACAAGGGAACTAAAAGGGCTAGAGCACCTACCCTTTTGCTCGACATCCAAAGTGCCCCTGATTTGGGCCTACTTCTTAAATGTAATATGATAACATAAGAAAATCTTGCTCTTCAGTTCATTTTTCATCCTTGTAGGATATCTGCACTCTTAATCAGTGAAATTTTCACTTCAATAGGACAAACTTTTAGACTTTCTTCAGCGCATACAGTACCAGTCAAAAGTTTGGAAACCTTTAAATTCAATGTTTTTATTTTTATTTTGTTCCTACATTGTAAATTAATACTGAAGTCATCCAGACTATGCAGAGACACATAAGGAATCATTTACTAAATTCAATAATTTCATTCAAAACCAAGTTTGTTTTAGATTCTTTAAAGTAGGCAACGTTTGCTTTGATTACAGCTTTGCACACTCTTGGCATTCTCTTTGCCTTCACTTTGCTGTCTAACTCATCCCAAACCATTTCAGTTGGGTTTAGATCAGGTGATTGTGGAGGCCACATCATCTGACCAAGCACTCCCTCACCCTCTTTCAGGTTGCTCTTACATAGCCTAGAGGTGTGTTTGGAGTCATTGTCCTGCTGAAAGACAAATGATGGGCCCACTAAGCGAAAACCAGATGGGATGGCATGTCACTGCAGAATGCTGTGGTAGCTATGCAGGTTAAGTGTGCCTTCGATTTTGAATACATCGCCAACAGCGTCACCAGCATAGCATCCCCATACCATCACATTTCCTCCTCCACACTTCACTAAGGGAATCACACATGTAGGAACCATCTCCTCACCTTTTCTGCGTCTTCACAAAGACATGGCGATTGGAACCAAAAATGTCAAATTTGGACTCTTTAGACCAAAGGACAGATTTCCACTGGTCTAATGTCCATTATTTGTGTTCCTTGGCCCAAGCTATTCTCTTTCTCTTGTTGTTCTTCCTTAGAAGTGGTTTCTCTGCTGCAATTCAACCATAAAGTCCAGATTCACACAGTCTTCTCTGAACAGTTGACATTGAGATCAATCAATCAATCAATCAATCAATTACTCAATTAATCAGTCAAAGTTTATTTATATAAGTGCTTTACATCAGGACAAGAAAAATAAAGAAAAAAAGTTATTGATGTGTGTGCTACTTGAACTCTGTGAAGCATTTAGGTGGGCTCTTGTCTGGGGTGCTGTTGTTAACCTGCAGTTTCTGTAGCTGGCGACTACCCTGTAAATCTGACTGAGAAAATACCAAGATTTGCAAGCTGTCTCTAGGCAAAAGGTGCCTACTTTGAATAATCTAAATCATAAAACATATTCTGGTTTGATTAACACTTTTTTGTTTAACATTGTTAAACAAAAACAAGTAAATCCATAAATATTTCTTCATAATGCTGATGACTTCAGTATTAATCTACAATTCAGGAAATTTTAAAATAGTGAAAAACCCACTGAATTACAGGGTGTTTCCAAATTTTTGACTGGTACTGTATTTGTCAAAAAATGAACTGTCAGGAAGGGAGAATCCCTCACACTCCCTAGTTGAAATGTACAGCACAAGAGAGTGTTTTGTGATGTTTTACCCTTTACATTTCGACTTGTTGATAATTCAGTGATTTACAAAGTTTGAGTATGGTCAAGCGGTAGTCTTCTCACCATATTTGCTTTGTCTATACCAGGCTGTTCCTACAGAGCTGAGCCTATACTGATGAAAGCAAATAATTATTTCAGAAAAGTGTAAGACATGCATTGAAGTTTCACTGATCATAAATTTGTGTTCAGATTTCTTTTCTCGTTTAAATAGCTATCGGAATCCCCTAAACACCTCAAACACTATGATAAATTGCAAAACACACTTTTCAACTTCTGCAGCTTGAATCAGATATAGACTGAATATACTATAAACAGTCTTTCGAGCCAGCCAAAATATATATATATATATATATATATATATATATATATATTGTTGTTGTTGATGATTGTTGGAGGGAGGGAGAGAGGGAGAGAGGGAGAGAGAGAGTTTTGTTGTTCGGTCACGAGTGTAAGTGCACGCAGATTATGCTTGTGTTTCTCCTGATCTGGAGGTGTCCACATTAAAGGTACGTAAGAATAATTTACTAATCGTGATATTTCTGTTTTGATGAAAACTCCGGTTGACGAAAGAGGATATTCATGAGGGAAATTTTAAAGTGTTAAAAAAAAAGATAAAGATCTGAAAATTAAATGTCCTTTCTTTTTTTTCTTTCAAATCCTTAACCATGTCTATGTCCTTAACCCGTTCACCAGGACAAACAGTGAAGTGAAGTTCCTCTTTAGCCTATCTTGTTTTAGTTGTTTTTCGCTCAACACGTTAGGTTTCGTTTCTCCTTTTTCCAGCTCCATCCCAGCGTTCAAGATGGCCGACGTGAACCAGAATCAGTTTACTCTCATGAGTCTTGAGGACGAGCTGACGTGCAGCATCTGTCTGAGCACCTTTAACTGTCCGGTCACCCTCCCCTGCGGACACAACTTCTGTCAGGACTGTCTTCTCACCCACTGGAAAGACTCCTACAGCTGCCCTCAGTGCCGGACCTCCTTCCCCACCAAACCGGAGCTGAAGAAAAACACGGTCCTCAGCACTGTGGTGAAGACCTTTCACTCGGGGTGCCATGAAAGCGGGGACCAAGAGATCATAGATGAGACCACAGAGGAGACCCTCGAGGAGAAGAAAGATGAAATCATTCGCTGTGACACCTGTATGGATGCAGAGGCGTCCCAGACCTGCCTCACCTGCATGGCCTCTTATTGTGAAGAGCACCTGCGGCCTCATCGAGAAAACCCCAAATTCAGTGTCCACCAGCTGTGTGAGCCCATCGAGGATCTGTCCGAGCACATCTGTGCGGACCACAACAAGCTGATGGAGTTTTTCTGCAGTGAGCACGGACGTCCCATCTGCAGCTTGTGCCTTCAGCAGGTTCACAAAGGTTGTCCCTTCATTTCTCCCGAGGAGCAGAGGAACCAGAAAGAGGTGAGATTTCGATTTTTTACAGACCTGCTCCTTTTACAATATCCTCTGTCTTTCTGACCAGTTTTTACTTAAGTGTTCTGAATCTACCAGGTCTAACGTTTGTTGTGTTGTGTTCATGTTTTTGGCCTATCGTCAACATCCCTGAAAGGCTTTTATTTATGTGTTTTTTTTTTTTTTAAAGCTCCTGAGTTGTAAGGTGGTTATGAAACAGACTGAAATTCACAATAATTTATCTTGATGAACTACACAAGCAAACCACATGAAGACTAGAGCTATTTCTGTAGCTTCTTTTGTGGCCCTTTATCTTTTATTTTGCATTTGTGCTCGTTGACCTTCGCATTCGCGTTTCCTTTCCCTTAACATTTGCAGCTGTTGTTGCCAGAAGCAGAGACAGGGGACACATACTGCAGTATGCGCTGTACAGATGAGGGAGTTTCTCGTGTACTAGTAACGCTTCACTCCTCCAAAGTCCTTTTTTGAACTTCTTTTTTGTTGGTCTTTGCAGTTAGACTTCAGAGAGAAGCTCAGTTTGCTGGATATGAAGATTGACAAGACTGAGACTGTTCTGTTTCAAATGAAAGACATGCAGAGCAAGCTGAAGGTATTTAAGTGCTGATTCCATTTTTAATGTAAAACAAACTAATCAAAACAAAAAAAGATGATGTTTTCACGTTTTCCTCTTTGATAACTTGTCTCTTTACTTGTCTTTGTTGCTTGTTGTGGTCCTGGGCGCGCTAGGATGCATCAACCTTCAAGAAGACGGCATTAGCAGGCCTGTATCAGCAGATGCAGGACATACTGGCTGCAGAGGGACGTGAGGCCCAAAATGAGGTGGAGCGAGAGCTGGAGATGGGTCAGAGGAAACTCCAGGACCTCATGAAAAGGTTTACACAGAACACAGAGACAATGAGAAAAGCAAGAGAGAATATCAACAGTCTGCTGACTCAGTCCCAGAGTCCGGCCTTTCTATAGGTGCGATGATGAGCTTAAAGTCTGAGAAGGTTCAAAGTGGGGCTGGGCTAGAGGGCTGATTAGTTGAGTCACAGGAATCTGACAAATATAATCTTATCAGTGTGTTTTCTTCACTTTCTTTGCTCGTAGGCCTCCTTTCACTTGCCAAAGGTTGTCAACTTTGACCCCCATCCACCTCGAATCAACCTGGACTCCAAGAAGGTGACAGCAACTCAGACCTTTGCTGCTACCCTGAAGGAGCATCTGACAGAGATCCTCAAACAGCCTGTGGAGGCCAGACTCCAGACACTCAAACCAGGTGACTGACTTTGTGTGGTCAAAGTTTACTGAAGTGAATTGGGTGTTAGCACAGACCTGTTTGCATCACGACTGTCAGTGGATAATGCTGTAAAATTTGTTAATAGTTGACCGTAGACTGTATATAGAATGGACGTCCTCTGACTCCTCGCTGGGTGAAGCCTTCGTAAGAACAGCTTTCCCTGATGACAAGCTGTAGTAGAGGTCATAAATCCTCCAGCAAAATGAATGGAGCTGTGGACAAAATTTATAGAAATAATTTACACAGAATATAAAATTTTCTCCTGAAATGCCAGTTTCGGGAAATAGAGAAAATCCCAGAAATACAGAGAGCAATTTGGCTTCAAATTCGTACAATGATGGTTAGTGGCATACTCATATACAGTCTATGAGGTCGACTTCAATGGATAAAGGCACAAAAAGGAACTCTCCTTATCAGTGTGAAGCAGCATATAAATGCAGTTATTACCATTTTCAGATGAAAAAGCCGAGCCTGCTGTCGGACCAGAAAAAAGTTTAAGCATCACGCCTGAACCAGGTATGCTAATCCTGACAGTAATGTGTTTAAACAGCAAAACTGGAGCTGTGTCAATCTAATGTGGAAGATCAAGCTCCGCGCTGATCTTGATGCTTTTAAAAGAACAATGACCAAGCTACTGTGACAAGAGAAGTTTTCTTTTTATTCAGGAGAGGGTGGTTTACAGGAAATAAACTTTTTACATTTTAATTAATGCAAAGCTGTTGAGGTGCATGGCCACATGCACCTACACACACACACGCACGCACGCGCGCACTAACTTAACATAATTAGTTGATAGATGACATGATACAATAAAGAAAGGATAATGCACTTAAATATCTTTAATAGACTCCCCTTAATCAGAGACACCATCAGTATGTGGGAAACTCACGCACTAGTTTCATTTTAGTAATATTTTGCACTTGGCAGATTTATTATCCCAAATAAAATAGTTGATGTTAGCACTGTTTTTACAGGTATCCAATCACAAATATCTTGGATCAAAAAAGTGAATTTGGACAATCTTAAACAGAATATCGATCTGGAACAAAGTGTCCCTTTAGATTCAAATTCAGACATTTCTGCTCATGGCTTTTGGCCACCGGATATATTTCATCATTATTTGATGTGTGCACAATGAAACTTGTGTTTGGTTAGGGTTAGCATCAGCATTGCGAAAGAGATTTTTAATCTCAATGAGTAATTTTTTTTCTGGTTAAATAAAGTTTAAATAAATAAGAAAAACTACATAAATCCTGAAATTTTACATTTTTATATTTGTAAACTGCATTTGTGTTTTCTTAGCAGTGAAAACGTTGTTGAAAAGTTTGATTACCTTTTTGTGGCACATAAAAGTTTGCGTGTATGAAATCTGTTGTTCACCTTTTACCTTGAAAACTACCAGATCCTCACGAGCAGAGAAGACCGCCAAGGTCTCACAGTCCAGGTTGTCCACCCGTCCAGCCGATCTTTCAGCCTGTTCCTGTGCCTGTTTACATCAGTCCTCAAACTGGCTGGAATCCATCCCAGTTTTCACAATCGTCTGGCTTTCATAAACGCCCTCATTTCAATCCTGGACAAAAACCAAGTAAGATATAAATGCACAACCACTACATAGTAGATTAGTACAACCTAATTCCAATTAAGTTAGGATGCTGTGAATAATGTTGATAAAAACTATAAGCCTATAGTTAGATTGAAACTAATGCAAAGAAAACAAATCAAATATTTGAACTGAAAAAATGTGTTGTGAAAATATCTGCTCATTTTTAATTGGATGGTAGGAATTAGTTTCAAAAAGTCAGGAAAAACAGCAACACACTGAAACAGTTGTTTACTGCAGCAGGGAACACCTGAAGGAGCACCTCTTACCTAATGGGGTGAATTTGCAGCAGGTCAGTCACAAAACTGGGTATGAAAAGGACTTTCCAGACAGTCTCTCAGAGGGAAAGATGGTACGAGGTTCAACACTCAGTGAGAAACTGTGCAAGCCTGTAGTTCAACAGTTAAACAGTTTAGTTTCAGAGGAGAGGAACAACCCAGCTTGTTATCAGTGCACAGCTCAACAGGCAGCACCTTTGGTGGTACAAGGATACAGGAGAGCTCATGATAGCTTAAACATGTGGGAAGGTTCCATTAACGCTTAATAACATATACCGAGGACTTCATGCAACACATGGTGCCATCCAGACAATGACTTTTTCAGAGGGAGGCCTCTCCTGGGATCCTAAATGGTAACAGAGTGCTGTTAAAAAGGCTAAGCAAGCTCCTGTGCCAGGTTTTCTGAATAGTGTTGCAGCCTTTAAATTCAAATGTGCTTATATTTCTCATAGAATAATGTATATTTTCATGCAAACATTTTGTAAAGGATTTTAATTTTGAACAGGATTGTTAAGATTTGCAAAGCATCCCATCTTTTTTGGAATAAGTTTTATTATATTTTAATTCACCACTTAAACCAATATGATAAAGAAATTCAATGAGACTGAAATCTTAACACTTCTGCGCCTAAATCTCATTTGATTTGGCATGCGTCACTTTTTTACCTGTGCGAATAATTATGAATTTATTAAATAAATCAACCAGCAACATACAAACCACTGAAGGAAAATGATAATACCGGACATATTAAGCCAAACCTGGTGAATTTTCCAAACTTAAGATCTTTCACAAAGTCATGAAGAAACAAAAAAAATTTCATCAGCTGTAAAGAGGAAGAACCTGGTCTCAAAGCCAGTTCATAAAACAAACCTTAAGACGGCTTCTAAAGGGGGCAACAGCCGCCAAAACACTAAAGGTATGTTTCTGTTAGTCAGTATATACAGCCTATACAAATGCTGCATGAAAATTTAACTTCATTTTATACCTTTTATTCCCATTTTATGTGCTGCTTGTCATTTCTTTCCACCTGCAGACAAGAAAAGTGATGCCAGTCCCAGGCCATTCCACAGTATGTCTCTTTTTTCATATTTTTATGATGGGAATTTTTCTTCTTCAGTCATACCATCTCCTTACGAGGTCTGTGCCTTAAAATACAGAACATCTAAACCAGATTTGCACTTGTTGTTCCCAGGACACCAAATACAGAAATTCAATGTATTAGTAACACATGGGCCATATTTTTGACTCTGTAGGTAAGCTTCACATTTTGTCACGAATGCTTTGCATCCTTCAATTTTCGATCATTTTCAGCTGTTCGAGACTTACTGGCTTCTCTTAATCTAGTTGCACAACAATCTTTTTTCAAAGTCACACTTGTCATAAGAACGACTTTGTTTTTGAACCTGAACTTTTGGGATGGGCAACTTGGAAGGGTATACAAAAAAAATGTTTCCAAAAACATCAGCTTAGCACGCACTGTCATACCTACACAACCTGAATTACCTGTGTGCCAGGATGTTTGCAACCTGAAAGGCTCCTCCAGTTTGATTTGTTATTGCATGGGTTAGGTTTTTTTACTCTGCAGTTCTACACTGTAATTTTTGAAAGAGCACAGCTTTTATGAATACAAATCTGTTTGGTTATCAGCTTTTGTTTCATACTAAAGCCAAGTAGTTAAGAGGTCCTTCTTATATATTCTTCCAGAACAAGAGAACAAGCCTCAGGGTGCTCATGGTGGAGGTAAACCAAGTGCCAAAGGGTCTGACTCCAGCAAGAGAGATCATCCTCACGGCCATCCTCCATCTGGAAAGTCCTCCAAAGGAAATCCACATCCTAAAAACAAGAAGTAGATTCAGGAGTGGTCCTCTTTGCTCTTGTAAATGTTGAGGTTGTCACTAAATCACATGGTAGAGGGTGTGCTGTCTTGATAGTTTATCAGTACAATGAAAAATGTGCTGCACTATAGAATTTGCATGTAAATGATTCACCCAGTCTGGTAACATTTCTCTGCATGGTTCACAGTGGATAATCAACACTTTCAAATACAACTTCATCATAATGGTTTTCTTCTACCCACTGGAAACATACAGTATGTCTTCAAGGATCTCTGGTAAAAGAAAACAGCAGATAATTTTCTTCACAAAAATATCGAAATAGAACACAGAGAAAAATGGTCTGTATATAAAAAATATTTATGGGTTTATCTTCAAATTCAAAAGATCTCATTGATACATTCAGTTCAATCCATATCTGTTTTCATTTTCAGCTGTAGCATCTTTGCCAAACATTCAGTCCTGACATTCAAACATGTTTGTTCCTAATAAATGCTTATCCACACTGATAGTTTTTGTATTTTCTCTTCAGCAGAGACAACAAAAGGCTTTCTTTCATATCAGATGGTCAAAATTGTGGTCACTTCCTCCTTTTTACTCCCACCAGTTTTACAGGCTTTTTTTTTATTTTTATGCTAATAGCACTGAAATAAGCTTTTTATAATCTATAATGTTGAAAGCATTTTTGTAGCAGACAAGGGGGTAAAATTGGTGCCAAATTCAGTTTACATGTGTATTGTTATACACCTACCCGGACTGGTTGATTAAAAAGACAGTGTTGAATGAGAAACATTAATAACAGTAACACAGTCAACACTAACCTTGACACGTGACAATTTTTAGCAACACTAGCAACCTGACAGGCAGAGATTTATTTATCTATTTACTACTGGTGTTAGACATTGTGATGGTGGTGCTGTGAAAAAATGTCACAATATCACTTCGCCAGCAGTAAGTTCTCTGTGCAGTAGCAGTTTTTGGACGCATGACACTGTACATTGCATCATGTCAGAGGCGCTCTTTTCAGGTTTATTCTGTAATTATAAGGTTCTCTAAAAGACTGGTATGATCAAAAAAAATTGTCAACAGTAGGGGGCGTGGAGGTTTTCAAATAATTTTTAAACCAGCCTATGTTCCACTTAAACATTTAATTTTGAGCATCTAACTCTTCAGTCCCTGCATTTTGGTAATTATTGATGCATCATGTTGTGATATACACCACAGAAACCAAACCTGCAACCTCTTCTAACCAGAACCACATAATAAGTTGGGTCAAAGCACAAAAACTGCTTCTCTTGTTTTCTATGAATTTCAGTTACAGCGTTTGTCCTGGGATTGGCCCGACAATGCAGCCTGATTTACTCCCTAAGTCTCTCTCGCTCTTAATAGTAAGACATCAGACTTTTTCAAGATCCCCTTCTGCTAATGACAGTTTTCAGAGCCAATCACAACAAAGCAGGGTGGGACAATGCACAACCTCAGGGCTTTGTGACACTTAAGCTGCTCAGCTAGTACACTAGCGAGCCACTGAGTTGCCTTTGGGTCTTTTATGTTGGCCACATACTGTAGACATAGCTTAAATGAAAACAATTAGCAAATACGGCTGTAATCACACTGGATCAAACTGATAAACATAACGAGTTATGAAAACCAAACCATAAAGGGGTCAGAGTGCTCAATTAATCTGATGGAAATTGCAATTGGTGAGATTGCCTTTTTAATTTGCATCCAACAGTGACCCTTTTTAAACACAATGTCAAGACTGTCTTCATTGAAAATTTGTGATCAACTTCAAATGCTTTTGAAACAAAAATTAAAAGCCTATGCATAAGCCTTTGCTGCCATGCATACAGTAAGGAGTTACAACCTCTCTTCCATTAAAGGTGAGGGTCTGTGAATCCTTTAAAGGCTATATTTGTTAGAAAACAGGGCAGGACATGAAACTAGACAGTTTTCCTGACCCATGAAAAACTAACGCACATTTTAGAGCTGACGTTGACAACCCTTTTTTTTTTAAGTGAGGGCTGTTTGCACAACCTCTTCTTTCAACACCATCTTTGTGAACCACTCTGTATAGTCTATATCTTCCTTCTACTGAGGAGAGGGGCCACCCATCTTGTTTTCAGCACACAGTTCAAAAGCCTGCATCCCTGATGGTATGGAGATGCAGAGGAGCCTTTGACATGGATAACTTGCAAATCTGTGAGGGCTCCATTCATGCTCAACAATGTATACAGGTTTTGGAGCAAGACCTGCTCCCACCCAGACAATGACTTTTTCAGGGCAGGCCTTCATATTTCAGTAGGAAGATGCCAAACTGCAGTGTTGAGGTATTGCGACAGCATGACTCAGTGGCTGAAAAGTCCTGGTGATAAAATGATTTGTGGGCAGTCCAGACCAATCACCCGCTGGAATCATTTTGCACATCATGAAACAAAAATTGCTGCAAAATAACTCCTAAACTGTTGGGCAGCTGAAATGTTTTTAGGTAAGACGGGGCAACATTTTTTTAATAGTCAGAGGCTGCTCTCCTCAGGTTCCCAAATCTAAACTGTTGTTTTAAGGGGATGCAACATAACTTTCCCCATCACAAATGATTTGAAAAATGATCTAAATCTGTTATTTTTTTCAGAGTCCAAACTTTCAAGCTGGCACATCGTAAACTTTCAGTCCAGCTTTAGTTCAAGGAAATGTAGTCAGCACAAATCTGAGTTTAAGATAGTTCTCGATTCATTATCAGAGATGATTCCTCAATCACTGAATCAAAATAAATCATAACTCTCCTGATTATTAATAAGGGATCATACTTTAAAGTATTCATTTCGTCTATTTCTAGTGAGCTGCTAGTGTTGCTAAAAACCTGCCAGCGCAATGAACAGACAACTGGTAAACACAGATGATAAGGTAGAAGATCAAACAGGTGCCCCTCAGACTGAAATCATTCAGCAAACAGACAGAGGGGAAAGAAACCTGTAGTGGGGGTGTATAGGCATCATCACACGGCTGAAACTGATCCCTGTTCAGTCTGACTACCAGCAGCACACTGGCTCTGGGCTCATTAGAAAGCACACACTCACATTTTTAGACTTTTTCTATCATGGCTGTGAGCAAGGGTCAACCAGTCTGTGCCATACAGGACCGACCAAAAGACTAAAAGAAGGCTACATAGAAATGCTTATAATGCTGATGGTGTTAAATTTAGCCAGTACATGCAGGAGCATCTCAATAAATTAGACTATCACAATAAAGTTCATGAAAGCACATAAAAGGAAAGCTGAATGAAAGTAATGAAGTTGTGCATGTTTTATCAAAGTCTTCATCCTCTTGTATGTCTTATTGAGATGCTGATATCCCTCTCAAGCAGGATATTGCACCTGCCCACAGCGCCAAAACTGAGCTGATTGGTTTGCTGCCACTTAACAGTACTTGAATGGCCAGCTAACTCAGTGAGACCCTTCATATTTGTCAGGAGGAAGGTGAGAAACACTCAATCCATAAATATCGACAAAATGAAGACTTATATCAACGCAACACAGACATCAATAACACCTCAGCAGTGCTACAGACTCATTACCTCCATGTCATGCCACATTCGTGCCATAAATCATGATAAATTAGCTCCAATCAAGTATAGAGTGTACATAGAGTGTACTTTTCTAAAGGCATTTCTGTATGTCTAACTCAACTTAATTTTTTTGTTTTAATTGGCTTGAATTTTTTTCTTTTTAAAAGTCATGAACATATATAGAATAGAATAGAATAGAATGATATGTAAATTAGAGGAAACTTTAGTTTTTAATTTATAAATAAAAATCTTCACGGTGTTCTAATTTTTGAGATGCACCTGTATGTAAGAGCTCCATTCTGTCTACAGAAATACTGCTCTAGTCTGCCACCCTGTGGTGCCTTTTGGTATTAAATACATGGTAAAACGCAACAGGGTGACTTGAGTAACATAAACAACAATGGAGGAGAGCTTAATCTCGTCAGCAGTTACCTCTAACTGCAGCAACATGATAATGGTTTCATATCAGTCTTATTTTCTAAGCAGTGTTATAATATATTCATCAGTGTAAGTGCCAAAACTATGCAGCACAAAATATGTAAACAACAGGAACAAGGTAAAGAGAGGAAAAACAAAAGGCGTAACATGTAGGCAAATTAATCCTCTGAACATCTTGGCAGTAATGTCCTGTAGCTCTTACAGGACAGCTTAGTATAGCTATGAGACTGCATCTTTGTACAATCTAACAGTTTGGCGATCTAATTTAGACAGTGCATCATGACATAAACAAACCAGAATCAAAGTCCAGTGATTGACAGCATGTTGCATTGTTGTCACAGAACCCTCGCCTCCTTTTGCTACACGACAGAAAGACCTTAACTTGGGCGTAAATGCAGGTGACACTTGAAAATGGTCAAGATTGTGCTGAAAAGCTTTGAAGGATTTCAGGAGGATTTAACAGACAGCAAGTACAGTTTGACTTGCATCAGCTGGAGTCTATAAGCTCTCCTATGTTCTGTAAATTATGGGTGTGCGTGTGCTGTTAGTTTGTGCTCTTACTGGAGTAATAAGAAATCACTCAGTGGTGTAAAGCTTAACATACTCCTGAAGCCAAATCTCCACCTTGATTCAGTGCAGGGCTGTCCTGCCTCGCCTCCTGTCCCTCTGCTGTCGATCCACTCATGGCTTAAAGAGGTTCAGTCAACTGACTTTGGGTAACTTGTTAAAAACGGCTCACTTGTACCTGCAGGGCTGCACTGGGCATGAATAATAAATACAGTAGAGTGGACTAAAGATATCTATGGCACAAAGGATCAGTGCAAATGACCAGCAATATTCCTCCTAAACATTCACCTCCTCCAGACTGTCTCGCCTGTGGAGATGGTTCTGCCTGAGCTGTGGGTTACAATAAACAGCAAACACAAACACAAAAAAGCAGATTAGAGCAGCCCGAATCCAAATCAACCTCTCTGATAGCTGTAAATTGTCTGGGAATAAATAAAATGATTATCTAGGGAACTAAGAGCTACTCTCATCAACATGATTGAGTGCAGACAAAGAGCTCAAACACCTCCTAAGTGAGGGTTAGTGGAAACTGGGCTGCGGAGAAAACCAAGTAACTGGGATTAAGAAAGCATCAGATCACATGAAGTCAGCCATGAGTCATGCACGAGCAGAGGCCGGCCCAGGGGGACGTGGTGAGTCATGTGGGGTGGGGCTCTCTGTTTCAGAGGCGCTTGTTTCGTCCTCGTCATCATCTGTCTGCTCAGCACTGTGGTACAGCATACAGGCCTGGGTCTTGTGGGTGATGGTGATGGTACAGGGACCCTGGGCCCAAGGCTCTCCATCCACCTGCATGGGCATCTTGGAGCTCTTGAGAACAAGCTAGAGAGAGAAAGAAAACACCCTAATCAGTCTGAGGGGAGGTTTTTGTCTGCTCAATAGTGGTGGATACACAGTCTAATGCTGACTTGTCCGTTCTGTAGTTCTTTCAAATGAATATGAACAACAATTGTAAAGCTCCAAGCTTAAAAGACAGATGTTGGTCAGCATCTATGACATTAAAGTTCAGAACAGTATTTGACCATACATGACTCTTCTCTGACCATGGACAAACACTACGCCCACTGACCAATGAGCTCTCTCGAAAAATGGCTTGTCTGTTCTTGGAGGATCGTATAGACCTCAGTGCTCGCATTATCCGAGGAGCACTCCGGCGCGCAAGAGTTTTCAGGGACCGCACAGACCCACTTACTTTTCTGGATGACCACCTTTATGAAAGGCTCATATGGCCGACATATCACACAAAAAATGTAAACATGATAGGAATGAACAAATGAATGAATTCATCTTGGAAATGAATTAGACATGTCTGGTGCATGTTAAAAGCACATGTTGGACAGTGCTATTTCAGGGTGATAATGGCATCAAAGATTAATTTTCCGCCAGCATTCCCTCCGTGCTTTTGCAGCGGCGACGGTGTTGTTTTTGAGGTTTATGATAGATTTGAATTCTTCATACTTTCTCATGATCGTCTCCTGCTCCTCATTTGTAAAGTCCGCTGTCCTTCGCTCTCCGGCCTGCTGTGACGCTCCAGACTGGTCCATGTTCAAGATTGGTCAGATGCGGCGGGCTCCGCCTTACATGTGTGCACGCACTCATAGCAAAGCTGAATCCACTTATGAGGTTAATAACCAGCGTTGTAAGACCGTTTAGCGAGACCGCTGGCTACCGCGCTAAGTTGAGCGAGGTAGCTCCAAGGATACCTCGCTAGGTTGAACTTGCTTCGTAGAACAGGCCCCAGGCCACTCGAAAAAAATGTAAATGTTGACTACACAGACATGACACAGCGATATCATTATATTAAAAAATGTCATAAATAACTAATTGCTATTGACTGAAATTAGAAGCTTTTTTGTATATACGCCACAAAGAAGATGCTTCTTTAACAGAATCCTGCCTACTCCACTTTTAAGCTTGTAATGTTTGACCTATTTCCCATCTGTTACCATGGAGGCGGCCGTTATGATAAATACTTGAGCACAAAGGTGACAGTCTTGATCTTTTGGGCTTCATTTTTTTAGATTGTACATCTGTTACTCTCTTTGATAAATGAAAGGATATATTATAAGAATGTATTTGTTAGTGGACATGCAGCAGCTGGACTGAATACGTCTGATGTGATAATTGGTCATTTGGTTTTCCACTGCTGTGACGATGCGAATGGCAGTGAAAAAAAAAGATCTTACTCCTCTATTATCTGTCTGGTCGCCCACTTCTGGAGGCAAACAGGAAGCAGCGCCATGTTAATAATGTGCCTGGGTTTTAATGGCGTGTGTTTGTGTGGGTGGTATCTGCTCACCCTGACAGTATGAGCCTGTCCCAGCCGTACAGGATTGGCCAGCTTGACCTGGATCTGCGCACAATGAAAGGAGCCAAACACACCCACCACCTCCAGCAGACCATCATCCAGCCTGCAGGGTGAGACAGGAAACAATACTGCTGCTCATGGCTGGTTGCTATGGTTACCTGCAGCTTTTGATTTTAACACTTAAGTGCTTACATTAGAGCCTAAACAATAACTAGAGCTCACTCACTTATGCTGAATATGTGGCTCATTTAACCCTGGAAACTGCCTCATTTGTGCTATCAGTGTTAACTACATGTCACTGTCTTGTACAACAGCAGGGCAGGTCTTACCGTGTGGGGGGGTAGGGTTCATCTCCCATACCCTCCCAGAGTCTGCAGCCTCCACCCCAGTAGCCAATGTTACAGACTATGATGCCCTCCAGACTGGGTAGCTCCACCCTCTCCCCATCCAACTCCAGCTGTTACAGAAACACCCACAGACAGTATGAAAGAGTTAGCAACCACGTAAATCTGTTCACCCTGTCCTTTCTGCCATGCAAAATTACAACGAGAGCTAAAATCTCATGTTAATCAGAAAGCAAATCACATCTTGAGTTTGGGGTGAAATTGAGATGCTAAAACGGTCATTCCCACTCATCATGACTTCTATACCACATCTTAACATCTCAAATATGCCTCATATGATTGTCTTTTAATATCCTGGAGCCCCTGGTAAACATCCATCTAGAGTCCATAAACTTAGATCAGCATGAAGACTGTAGGCGACAAGAAATCCTAAATCAAATCTACCGAGGTCAAGGGAGAGCTTTGACCAAAGCTGCACACAGTTGTTTTATTTGTACAGAGTGTGCTCTCGTACTGAAAATGTAGTTGGCTTTAAATCAAAGTATTTCATTTTGTGTAGAATTTGCAAATAAGAAACTGGAGCTCATGACTCATATAGAACTAAACAACAGTGGGGCTTTTAATTAATTCAAGTATAAAAATATAATAAGATAGCTCCAGAGTTGAATAAATAATGTGGCTGTATTCTTTTTTTAAATATTGGAAATCCTGAAAACAGGCTCTTTTTTTTGGTCTGATTCTCCTTATGAGAGAGGGAGGTAAGAAATGACTCAACAGTGGATCCCATGAATGTTGCTAGTGTACCTCAATCCTCTTATCCAGATCTTTACATTCCTGCACTAAACAGTCTTTGGTGCCATAGAGGAAATACACAGCCTAAGAGACAAAAAGAGAAGGCTTTAATAAGACATGTTCACAGTGAGGACACTCAGGGGCGATGCTTTTGAATTATAGTCAAATTCAATGCACATTTGAATGCGGTTCATGTATTTGGATAATTCAGACTCAGACTTCTAACCTTGTTGATGATGCGGCTGGAGAAGAAGGAGGGAGTCTTCTCACGGTGTGTGTGAAAGTTGAGCGCCATCAGAGCATCAGGCCCCACAGAGAAGTAGTTGTTCATGGACAGAACCTGGGGACCAAGTGCATAAAGTCTGTCAAGATTCACCCCAAATCCTGTCACATGTAGCCTGAGTAACGACACATCTGAGGAATACCACAAAAAGAAGTCAAAAGACAAGTCAGAGAGAAGAAGCTTACCTTTGGTTTGCGAAAGTATAGTCCTTTCGAAGCCACCTGCACTTTCCATCTGTGGAGGAAATGTAGGTGAATAAATGTGGGCTTAGGACAGAAAAGAAAGAAAGAAACACAAACAGGCTGCAGCTAGGAATTTAGAAAAAAAATGGCACAAACAGAAAGTTCTCTTCAGGAGCTTTGAGTTGCTGCAGCTGAGAAGAAGAATAGTGACCGCACTGAATCTTGACAGTAAAAACCCTGGAATCAGTTTGTATACAAAAAGAATGTCTACCCCTCAACTATTAGACCTCCTAAGTGAGAGACCGTGATGCAAGTGTCCCAAACGTGAGCAACAAACCTGGACACAACCCAGGTCAACATAAACCAGAATCTCTGGCTGCCAATTAGCTCCACGGGTGTTGACATATCCGAAAAACTCTAACAGCTTTTAGACTGAGGACTCTATAAAAAAAACTGTCTGCTAATCAAGTGAATATTTACAAGCTAGGAAAGTGATACAGCACTGTGAAACTCTCCTCAAATCAGAGCCTGAAACTACTCCAGCATCTCACCTGTCCATTTTGACCACCTCAGCATCAAGGACATTACGGAGAACCTGTTCAACAGGGATCTCTCCTGCATACCCAGCACCCCAGCCGAGGGTGTTGGAAAGGTCATTTCCTGTCCCCAGTGGCAGGATGGTCACCTTTGGGATGAACTGGTCTTGGCCCTGACAACAGGATGTAAGAGAGCAGCAGTGCTATTATCAAGCAGGAGGTGAAGAGCTCAGGAGATTTAAAAAAATTAAACTAAACCTTTTTCACCTTCAGCTTCATTGTGTCGATAGCGTCAAGCACCCAGCCCACTGTGCCATCACCCCCACACACTAGCACCCTGACACTGTTTGGGGGCAGCAGGGTGCACAGCTGGAGGGCTTTTGGGGGAGTCAGCTCAGACAGGTCAAACACCTAAAGACAGAGTGGAAAAACACAGATGTCTCAGTTTTTACAGAAATAGACTGCTGAATAATCCCATGAAAAAGGGTGAAACTGCAGGTTAGCTTAAAGGATGATTCAGTCTCTCACACAATCTGAGATAAAGATTCACCTGCACTGGATTGAGAAGGGTGCGAAATTCTCCCAGCAGAGCTTCCCCCATATTGTTACCACTGCGTGTGTTTGCCAAGACTAATACTGGAGTCCAGCCACTGCCACAGGAGGATGCCAGCTACACAAACAAACACACATGACATCAAAACAGTCCTCAAACACCGCGTTAATCCAGCAGTAAGAGCTCCTGTTTAGCACCTTGATATACTCGTCAGGGTGCCGGCGGCGGAGCTTGTTGACGCAGTAGAGGTAGTGAGGAGGGATGATGAGGCTATGGAACTCGCCCAGGTCACACTGGTCCGAGTCCTCCAGGCAGTCCCTGCAGTCGTCATGCACTGTGGTCTGACACCACACACACCTGACAGAGATACACACACCTGTCAGAGAATACAACCCCAATCCTACAAGAGGTAGGACGCAGTGTAAATGACTTTAAAATGTATCTGGATAACTTCTCACAGATAACGAGATGAGTACTGTCAATGTGGTGTGGTGGTGCTGCATGTATTTTGCTGTAATTTTTTTGTTTTATTTAATTATTTAACTTGTTTGTTTATTTATTATTTGAACTATTATTATTGTTATCATTATTTTATTTTATCCTTTTATTTATTTGCATTTATATTTTCTTTTATATTATCATCATCATCATCATCATCATCATCATCATTATTATTATTGTTATTATTTTTATTTTTTTATTTTTTCATTTTTTTATTAGGGATGTAGGTAAGAGTTGACCTATAAGGTTTGTACTGGGAGGGGACAGGTTTGGGTGAAATTTGTAGTTCTGTTATTGTTATTGTTATTGATGCTGTATACTATTTATGAAAAATTGTTATTAAATAAATTGTAATTTTATTTAAAAAAATTACAAATAGTAAGCAGTGTACAATGGTAACAGGTAAAGATGGAGAAAACTACAGCAGTCTGTGAGAAACTGCGTGAGTAGATAGTCTCAGAATAATATTTCTCAGCATGAAACTGCAGAGAATTTTCACATTTCATTATCTACCTCAAATAAAAGATTTAGAGGATCAGGAGGGTTCTCTTTGCAAAAGGGACAGGGTCGATAGCTTACACTGGGTGGCTGGGAGCTTTGGGCCCTCAACCAGCACCGCATTAAAAACAGCCATGACCCTGTAGTAGAAATCACTGCATGGGCTAAAGATTACAAACCAAAACCACCTGTGAACCATTAAAACTGTAGTACCATACAAAGAGGAAACCATATAAACTATGACGCAGTGGTCTGACTGATTAAAACTTTACACTCTCTTTGGAAACCATAAATGCCCTATCCTCTGCTCTGTAGAAGAGAGGGACAGCCTGACTTGGCATCAGCTCGCAGTTCAAAGTCAGCATTTGTGATAGTACTCAGATACAGAAGTGGCCATGGCATGGGCAACTCATATGTCTGGAAAAGTTTTGGAAAGGTTTTGATTTTTCAAATTACATTTTGCACATATCACAACACAGCATGGCTCTGTCGTAAAAGAGTCCGGGTTCTAAAGTGGCCTGCTTGTAGTCTGCAGCCCCTGTCACCCATTAAAAACATTTGACCCATGGTGACACAAACAATACGTCAAAGGAAGTCCTGATCTGCTGCAGCTGACATCTTACATCAGGCAAAAATGGAACAAGATTTAAAATTCAAAACTCAAAAACTGGTCTCCCTGGTTTCCATGTTTACAGAGTGTTCAATGCAGATGAGATGACAATCCATGGTAAATATCCCTCTGTTCAGACAGTTTTGAATACTGAAAACTGTATTTTCATAATATAACTGGAACTTTTCAGTTGAAACATTTTTAAAGTTGTCTTTGAAAATTGCCAATCAAATACAGTCTTTAGTTCATTAAAAAAAAAAAAAAAAACAAGAAGAAAAAACATCAAATTCAGTTTTCATCAACATAGTATGCCATATCCTAAAAGTGCAGTTGTGTGAAAATATACAAAAGCATTTTCTGCTGAAAGCAGCAGCAGTCCTGAACTGTGAGACTGATGTTTTCAGGATTAGTATAACAATCTGTCTGATATTATGAGATTATGTCATTGTGTCATCTCTTTAACATAGAGCAGCAGCAGCAGCATCAATCCATTAGAGCAAATTAAAGGCAGATTTAGAAATGAGGTTGTGTACCATGGCAGCTTTAAGAGGCCCACGTAGCGTGGTAGTGGTGGTTGATACAGTTTTCATCAACATTTCATATATCTGTGTGTGCACTTTGAGCTTTTTTTCGGAGTTTGCAAACAAACAAACAAAACAAAACAAAACGAAACAAAACAGATATTTTGAGCCCCTCGACTTATATTTGCAGCTGTACCTGTAGCATCGCCTACCTGAAGTCACAGAGCTTCGGCTGGGTCCCACATTGCTGTTTGCACACTGCACAGTAGCTGGCCAGAGGGACATTTCCGCGGACCCAGCGGTGCTCCACGGCTCCATCAGGGCCGGAGGGGGCCATAATCTCTTTGCACGGCAGGCTCCGGTCAGCCCGGCGCAAGCACTGCTCATCGGCACACACGCCACAGCAGTCGCAGAAAGCCCCTTGGAGGATGTGCTGCGAGCAGACGCAGCAGTAGGTGGGCTTGTTGAACAGGTCTGTGTAGTGCCAGCCGTGCTTGCTCTTTCGAAAGAAACCCCTCATGTGCGTTTTTCGCTTGGAGCGCTGGGCGCTGCACCACAAAGTGATGATCACCGGAACGACGACGGCCACAGAGGTCCAGAAGAGGAGCGTCCACTCCTCCCGGGAGCCGCAATCGTCCTGCACCTCGCCCCCCTCCGTGCACATCGCTGCTGGGTTGGTAGCAGAGCGAAAGATGATGCTAAAGAGCGGAAACAGGTACCAAGGGGAGCTAAGTCAACACTGAGGAGTGCGGACAGGACGTACGTCTCACGTTTTCTCTGCGACACTCATGTTCTCAGACCCAACCTGGATACTGGAACTACTTTAAGCCTCAATAGAAGCATTTAATGTACAACGAACCATAAACAAGAGGCAGCAGCAATGTGACGTAGAGCCAATGAGCTACTTCACTACCTTAGCTTCATCAGAGAGTCGAGTTTATGTCAAGAGAATTCCGCTCACCAACAGGGAAGAAACGCGCATGCGTACAACTATGAAACCAAGTGCACACAGTACAACGCCAACAACAGGGAAAGACAGGAGGGATTTATTCAGATTTAGACAACACATGGGTAAAAAAAATTGTCTGAGTGTCAGATCCTTTATGTTGTAAAGTAATTGTGTGGAGTTAAAAAATGGTGCAAACCAGTTCCTCATAGAAACACTGATGTCAAATTAAAGGTGACAGATCTGGATTCAAAATCTCACCTTACTCAAAGGCAAACACAATAATAGACGCTACAATATATGAGAACCCTGGGTTTTAATGTTGAAGCATTAATAATTTTGTAACCCAGGCCTCAGGTCCAGAGGCGGGCCCTTCAATAGTCAGACCAGGCGACCGGGCGCCGGCAAGCGACTACCAAACGTTTTCTGTTGTTATGTAATTATTTTCGTTCTAAGTTCTAACTCATTTATGTAATATGTACATATAATTGATTTAAAAGGCGCCCTCGAATTTGCAAGTTCAGACAGTTATGTTTGGGGCATCACAACCAATACATCTTTGTTTGAATCCAATGTTTGTGAAAATGTCTGTGAGACATTAAGGTCGTGGTCGCACACACAGACCACGGCCAGGGGGCTCCAGGAAAAATCTTGCCTGGGGCACCAAATTGCTTAGGGCTGCCACTGCTCAGGTCCATAGAATCTGCTGCTTGTCTGTGAGTTCCAATACATTTTGAGTCCAACAGTGAAGCTGTTCTTTTGTTACTGGGTGAGAAATTAGAGTTTGTAAACACGATATGCTGTATAAAACATCAGGCAGAGCAGATACTTACCGAGCTCATCCTGGTGCATGGTTGCAGGATCCATCTTTAAACCCAATTCTTCCATTCAAGTTGGGGGAGCATGGGCCAAAGTAGAAAGATGAAATGCATGTCAAATAAATTCTTCTCATCATACTCTCTGTCTTTAAAATAAGTTTGTACCATACTGGTTTCAGCTCAAGGGACATCTGCTTGACATCAACTCAAGAATCTGTTCTGCAGTAAAGAGGCCTCGGATGTTTTATCATTAAGTTAAATATGTGTTTTGGTTAATGGAAGAAGTGTGACATGATTTATGCTGCCTCTCCAGCCAGATTGCTTGCATGCAAAGATAACAACAGGAAGACCTAAAGACCTATACATATCAATATACAGTCAGTGCAGTGCTGCTGAAAAGATATTTGCAATAAGATGACAGAGGTATAGTTCTAAAAAAATAGCACTCTGATGCTACACATCTGGCTGACCAGGTTAAGGATTAAAACAGACCGAAAGCACTCAGTGTTTCCAAATCTATGATTTACATTCCTTTGTAATATAGGCTCTGTGGTAATATGAGTTAAGATACATTTGAAGTATATTTCCTGACGTAGTGTAAATATCTTGCTTGTAATGTATACCTCAGTTAAAGACTGATAAGAGAATGCAGAGATCAAGAAAACGACATATTTGCAGGTCTACGTTGTTAATTTTAAATTCTTATTGTTACTGTCCCACAAGCATGATTGTATAAACTGCGACATAAATGGTCAGCTAATTTAAAAAAAAAAGGTTTGTCAGCCAGCATTCAGCTCATGAAAATCTGCTTCAAAATCAAGGTACAACCAAATACAGAAATACCAAAGCTGCAATTCCTCAAATGGCCACTGAAGGCCTGCCCTCAATCACCATTAGGCCCTGAATTACTACCTGTAATCTATTATTCCTTTAGAACATAGATAATTATGTTCACACACACAAGAAAAAGAAGAAGTAGAAAAAGAAGAGTTTTGATCTTTGAGGCTAATTCGCCAGTTTATATTTCATTAAGCATTGCAGTCATGCCTAATACAGGGCACAGGCACCCTTGGTAACAGGATGGGTGCTAAACTGTCTGCTTCAGATCAACACAGGATATAATCTGTTAGGTTAACTAGCACGCTTTTGTCTGTGTTGTTAGTTTCTTTGGGCAATTTTCATGAAAACACTAGTTAAATACTTACATACCCTATGATGTTTACCCAAGGAGCTTGTGTTTTAATTATTTTGGTGTGAAATAATAATTAGTGACTTACATGTTAGCATATGTGAACAGACAGCCATTTGTCAACCTGTGAATTGGACTGATGACTTAGAATAAACCAGCTCACTTAACCTGTACAAGGTTGGTCGTCTTCCAAAAACCTATATAATGACAGTCAAATGCCACATTCAGGCTTCATTAAAGCAGTCAACAAAGCCTATACATTGTATATATTGGACATATGTATATACACTGTATACAGGCCTTATAAGAAAGGCAAATCCACACACTGAGGTGCTGTGGACATGTTCAATTCTGCCGTAGAGATGGGCATTGTAAGATGAGGTCTCATGGAGATTGATCAGCTTTTGGAGCCAGTGTCAAGTGGACACAAGAGCAGCTAGAGTTTTTGTTTTTTGTTTTTTCTTCTTCTTCTTTTTGGAGAGAGTCAAGCTGCTGTCTTGGGAGCTCTGAGATATATAACAAATTGTGGATTTTTAACTCATCACTGCACTTTATACTACAAAGTCAGTTGGACTTCTTTAAATACTCATCGGCTTGGTCATTGGTACGTTTTCATTTGCAAAGGCATTCTTGGAAGAATTCCAGACTACCTCTCCTCCTTATTGATCATTAAGGACAGATTACACAACCTGAGATCATTGAGATTTATACAGTTTGTTGTCCCTAGAGTCCAAACTGAGATGGAAAAGAAGGCTTTCAGGTTCTCTACCCCCTCCGCGTGAAATAATCTGCAGACTGAATTTCAGTTGCAAAACCTGGTGTCTGTGACTGTTTTTATATCTGCGGTTAAAAGGCTGGAGTCCAAACTCTCAGAATGTCTCTGTTTTAACTGATGTTTCCTCGCATTTTTATTCTGTATTGAGTCTGTGTGTCTGTTTGTTGTAACCTTGTATTGCTACCATTCTTGGTCAGGTCTCCCTTGCAAATGAGATCCTCAGATCTTAATGGGACAGACCTGGTTAAATAAAGGTTAAATAAATAAAATAAATATGTATGTCTTGTAATTTTCTAAACAGGTGTACAAAGTTGATGAAGATACATAACACGTGAGGATAGACTGTGCAAAAACGTGGTGGCTATTATCCATGGCTTGGTGTCACAGCCTGATGTACTTGTGTCTCTAAACAGATAGGCATTAATAGTCCAACAGCCTGATCTGGGAGTGTTACCCCGTTCTTACATGTTACTTGTTTCATTTTTATTTCCTTTTGGCATAGCTAAACGACAACAAAAAAAAGGGGAAAGCACCATCTTGCCCTGTCTATCATCTCTGATTTTGAGCTCCTGACGCGTCACTGCCGTCCCACATCGCGCATGCGCTTTTTACTTTCTAGCGCTCTCCTAGCGTGTCAGATAATCACATTGAGGGAACAAAAGCATTTTCTGGCCCAGGAGTTAATCCGAACTGCGTTATTATTGAAAGTGGAGGCAGTAATGAAGACATGTGCATAACGCACAGGGGACAGAAAGAGGCAGGAAACGGAAACTATGACGCACTCCGACGTCTCCCTCATACGCCACTGGCTGCGCTCCAATCCAGAAGTGAGACAGAGGAAATATAAACCACATAACACACACCAACACATTCAAAGCTGCTCTTACAACTGCTTTCATAACTATTCACTCTCGTTAGTACATAGTATTTGAACTCAGCTGCCTCCTGTTTACCATCATTGGCATACAAGATGGCATTTTGTGCTTTTAACGATTTCCATATAAATAAATAAAAAACATGACTCCTGAAAGAAATGCTCCAAAATAAATAAATAAACCTGTGTAAAAACACATCTGCACTCCACTAACGGTGTAAGAAACAGTGGACCAAGTGTTGAGGCGCAAAGACAACCAACTACATCATCTCGACGCATCATGCAGCCTTTGTAGGAGGTGAAATACTTCCACCCGTGTGTATCCACGTGTTAAACAGGCTGATAGATCTGTCACTTGGGGGGGTAACACAGCTTGCATTTTCTGTTTTAGCTCCACAGAATCTTGAATACTCCCCAAAAGTAGTTCTCAAGAGCATTTTCCTCTTTAAGCGTCATTTGTCTCTGAGTACATTTACATAAGCTCTCAACCTTATTCACTGAAATGTTAAAAACAACCCGCATCAACATCGCCATCTAGTGGATAGACTCCTCCTTGTTTCATAAACTTTACTCATCAGACGCTTTTAAATGTCAGTTCTTAAAATGCAAATATTAATGTACACTATAAGAGATATTACAGCCTGTATTTCAGTGAAATTAAATGTTATACTTTTAAATGTATCCACATGAGTAGGCATGTGTCAGCCTTGCAGGAGGAGGAGGAGGAAGAAGAGGAGGAGGTCTCCCCAATCACCCCCTCTGGACTCTGCTCAGGACCTCAAAGCTGAGAGGGCTCAAGCAGGAGAAAGGTGAAGAAGATGAAGAACCTGGTGGTGTTTTTGCTGTGCCTGGTCTTGTTGACCGTCTACACAGGTAGGAAACACACAAGCAAGAGCTTGTTTAATGAAACATAGAGCAACATTTGAATCAGAGGCACTTCATCTGACAATCAAATGTAATGGAAATTTGACCTCTTTTGGATCATTTTGCGTAACTTAGCATGAAGTTTTTGTTACAGGACTGTATGTCAGTGCAGAATTAAAAAATGCAAAGGAGTTTAAGAAGAAAAAAGTTCTGCATTTTACAGCAAAACTTTGCACAAACAGACCAATTCCAGTAGCTGCATTTCTGTATACACGCTGTGAAATTCAGCATTTGTTCCTACTTCAAACAAAGACAATAGATAGTGCAAATCTTAAAGCGATTTCAGTTTCTAAAGATCAAAATTCTGTTTTTGGTAATCAAAAAGCAAGATAATTCTTGTGAGTATTTTGCCACGTTGCTGTGGGGGCCCAGGCAGCAGCAGCAGCAGCAGCTTGGACCCTGTGTTGACAGAGCTGGGTTCGCCCACTGCAGCTCCCCCTGGCAGGAGAGGAAGAGAGAGTAAGGCTCGCTGCCTGCTGGGGTCATGTGCTATGTGGACCCGGACTCCCTGGGGAGACAGGAGGATGAATGGGCACATTGTTACCTTCCAACCAAACACCCTGTCTCTCAATGCAAGCCTGGGTTAGAGAGAGGGAGACAGAGAGCCCACGTTCTGCAGAGGCCTGTGTGTGTGTGTGTGTGTGTGTGTGTGTGTGTGTGTGTGTGTGTGTGTGTGTGTGTGTGTGTGTGTGTGTGTGTGTGTGTGTGTGTGTGTGTGTGTGTGTGTGAACAGCTCTCTTGGGACTTGCATTGGCAAATAAACAGCCTCACATGGACTGGCTACACAGACCAGGTCAGCCCCAGCTCAGCAACTGCAGATAGTGGTAAGAGGTGTATTCGTGGGCCTGAACACATCTCTGAGTGAGAGGAATTTTGCCCTGGTTGGCCAATACTCAGCCAATAAGCAAACAGCTGTTGACCAATGTAAACAAAAAACAAAATAACTGGGACAGCAGTTAAACTTAGAGCAGACAATTTTGGTTTGAGTGTCCTAAAAAAGAAGAAGTCAAAACACAAGAGGCTGCTGACACACTCTCACACCAATGTAACCAACTAGACAATAAAGAGCCCCACTCTTTTATTCTTTTTTAAACCTGAATCAGCCTTTTCTCTCAGCTCCTGTTTAAGTATTGGATAAGTGAACCGTAAGACATGAGAGTAAACACTTGGTCTCTTTGGAGTTTAACCCTTATCTTTCTCTGTCGGTCAGATGCCAACCCTATCATCAAAGAGAGCTTCGCTAAGCAGCTGCTGCGCAGTAAGAGGCAGGAGCGACCAATGAAGGCTGGCCACCCCGACGAGCCAATGAGGGTAAGGTTCATCCAGAGCAAAGAGCACAGTCACATTATAGGCGGTATAGGACTGACTGTGGACTGAACTGAGTGTTGTCTTTATGAAGAGTGCTTCATTCTTACCTCCAGGTGAGCACTATAAAAGACAATGCACTGCTTCAGATTATTATGTAGCTGTAGGAACCATAGGAAACACAGAGTCCTTATAAATGCACTACAACAAGCCCCCATCGTGGAAGTGTTTACAGTCAGTGAATGCTTTATATTATTGTTTTCATGATTATTCGTAGTGAATTACAGAGGATCAGCTTTCACAAATAACTTTCATGACCAATTTGATTGTTTATCAAACTTTTAATGGCATCTTTACAAAAGATTGCAACAATATTAGGCTTAAATTACATGTATTTATATGATTAAAGTCTTTTTTGAGAGGATGAGAGTTATTACAAAAATATATCATTAAACAGCTGTGTATTTACGCAGCCTACTGTCTCACAGACCATATTATTGTAGGCCGAACATGTGAGTTTAAATAAACTGATACTTTGTGGGTAACTATATAAAAATGGATAATCAAAGTATATATTCGCACTGCAGACTGTGATCCTTTTAAAGTTATTATTTCACAGTCTCATCATTTAGAATTTATTCACTTGTTTTCCTCTACTTGGTCAGTTACTTTTACCTGTTTCTTCAAAGATGATATTGCCCAAAAATTACAAACCTAGCAAGGCCAAAAAAGGGTCAATAATCATCAAAGAAAACTAATCACTGGTAAAATAAAAACTAAAATATTAAGTCAGTACCTCAAAACTTCAGTTAGTAGTCGTGGATTTTATTTGCTTCAATCTTTGAACTCATCTTGCCTTTTATCATCAATGAGGGACAGGCCACTACTTTACTTTTAACATGTTGTCAAATCTTTTGCATGGTATGGCAAGGAAAAATTAATTCAGTATAACCAGAAATATTGATCACCTGTTTGCACAGTTAGTTCATACCAGTATATAACACATAACAAGGCTTAGACCAGATGAGGAGTATTGTTGTCCTATTCTGCCACTCCTGGATTTTGCAATCCTGTTGTTCTCTCTGTGCAACCATTAAATGTGACATTTGAGTAAAAGGTAGATGTTAGCACTTGGTTGCACAGACAGGTAAACAATAAGTGTTTAAAGGCCTCTGAATTGTATTTGTCAAATAAAAGCCTATCTTGCTTGTCTTGTTTGACAACACTTTTAGGTCTTTTTTATACCACAGGCTGAGAAAAAAAAAGGCAAATATTGTTGTTTTCTACATTTACACTGTCAGCCTTGTCTTGGTAATAAGTCTTCACATTTAAGAGGGAAACTTTTTCAAGAGTTTATTTTTGTTGGTTTTGACTGGGAAAGGTTTATCTATCCATTTTATGCTTATCTTTATGCTTTATGCTCAGTTATCCAGAGACGGGCCTGTACGTAAAAGTCAATTATGAATGCTTCAAAGTCAACAACAAAGCAGGTGAAGTAATGAAGCAACAAAATATGATTTTGTAATACACTGTCAAACATGGAGCACATGATCATGGGACAACGGGATTGAGCCCTCCTTTTTCACTTTGAGTTTAAAATGATGCCTGTCAAGATCCAGCTGGAGTCTTGCTGGTAAGGCATTTTAAATGTCAGGGGAGTTCCCTATTAAATACTTGTTTGTATTTTATGATAGGTTTCTCTGGTATTCAGCACATTAACAGAAAAATAATTTTGTGTACAGAGACCAAAACAAAAAATTGGGTGCTTATTGTGATGTAAAGGATAGTTTCAGTGTAAAACCCTTCAAGTATAGTTCAACCAAAAGACAAAGATCTCTCTGTGCACTGTGAGGTTAATGACCATAATCCTTAGCCTTAAAAAGTGGCAGGTCTAATGCCACCTCGGAGTGGGGCTCCTTTTTATGTATGTGAGCTGGGTGAAATCAAGAATGAAACTGGTTCTCTGTTTTACTGTTCCATCTCACTGTGACGGAGGGGTTGTACCTCAAACTGACCCGAGGATTCCTTTTGGTTAGATGGTTTAAAAAAAAAAGGGGGGGGGGGGGGGGGTTGTGTTTTAGAAGAGGAAATGTTCATACAGACGGTTTTATCTGCCAAGCCTTATAAACCTAAAGTTAAGCCAAGAGGTCACTTGACCTGATGATCTATCATTTAAGGATGAGATTACAAATCTTTCTTTGTTCATTCATGTTTTAATCCCAGGTCATTTTGCAGAATGAGATGTGAACTTTCTGCCATCCTCCCTGTACTTGTGTGACCCCTTTTGACCCTCAAAACCATTTTAGCAGTATCAGATTCTTACAGAATCAGTCCTTCTGTTCAGCTCGCACTCATCTCTTGATTTTCACTTTGAGCTGTCATGTGCTGTTGTGTTGTGATGCAAAAGTGCAAAGCAGAGGTTCTGAGTCAGGGCAGATTCCCCCTTTTTATAATTCACTTTCACTTGTGTGAATCACATTTACACTTATCTGCTTGTTTCATCTCACTTCGTTTAATTGGTTCCTCTCCTGCAGGAGCATCTGCTGCACATGCAGGCTCTGGATCAGAGGGCCCAGGAGACCAACATGGAGCACTGGCTGAACCCTCACTGCTACCCCCGCTGTGACAGGAACTATGGACACCCTGTCTGATGAGGTCACTGCAAGTCTCAGTACACTCAAATGTACAGTTCTCATAAAAACGACGCTGCTCTTTCACTGCAGGATAATCGCTCATTTCAAAGCAGGCCTGCTTCTCTGTCCAAATAAATCTTTGAAATTATAGATTTTTTATCACCACATCACATTTCAGAATAACTCCAGGCCAATTCGACATGAAATTAACTCTCGTTCATCAACATCAGAGGGAGTTTTTGGTGTTTCTCACTTCATAAGATAAGATAAGATGTTCCTTTATTAGTCCCACAGGGGGATATTCCAAAATTACAGCAGCATTGCATAGATACAAAAAGAGAAAAATCAAAAGATAAAGAAACTTTGAGTTAAAAGTTATTTAACTCAAGTCAGTTAGTTATTTCTCTTCCTGTTTTTTTATGTATGATGTGATTTTTTATGATCATGAGTGTTTAACACAAGCTGGAAACGTCAGATACAAAACTCTATCAGGGTCAGACTTATGTCATATTTCTTTATTCAGTTATTCCAACACAAAACGTTTAGAAATCAGCGTGGTTGATTGTTGACAGATATCTGGGCTGGTTTTTCAAAAAGAATAATTTTGAATCAATGTGCTCCATGTGTGATGACAGAAAACATTCACAGATCATCTCTGTCTAATAGTTTCTCTTCATTTAAACTGTTTTTTGCATCTTTTGGCTCACAGGTATGAACCAGAAGTGACAGCATGGACTTGATAACGGCAACAACCAAGAGAAAAAAGATGAAATACTCTCCCCTGAAATGACCATGACTGCTAAATAAATGGTCATACATATAATCTTATGTTTCAGCTGTGTAGTCAAGTGAAATCATTAGTGTCTGCTTTTATTCCCCTGATTGTATGTCATGTTTCTTAGCTGAATGAAATGTAGGCCTTTTTACATTCAAAAATAAATCATGATGCATGTGTGCTTACTCTGTGGGGTTTTTGTGCCACCATTTTTATTCTGTTAATATTAATACTCAGAACAAAAAACAAATGAGAATTGATCAGGCTGTGGGTTGCAGGCAATTTATGAAGGCACGTTTAATATGTGTGAAGCTGACATCCAGGTCATGTGATCAAAATTAGCCCCCGCGCACTGTTTTTTGTTCTACTGCATTTGTCTAAATGTGATTCGGGTCTTGTTAAGAACTTGTGAGACTGCTACCAGGATCAAAAGATTTAACTTCGATCAGGGTGCTCTCAATTTCTAATCGCCGCGCCCCTGTAAGGATTGGTGGTCACGCGCATGTCGGATATAACTTTTATGGTAATTAAGGTTTGTTTTGTTTTTTTAACATCGGACCAACACGGATAACCTAGTCTGCATCGGAGCCGGGAACTGGGGGGATTAAACACTAGAAAACAGAAAAGGCTCGTTATTGAAGGTGGAAAAGGGATGATTTTTCAGTATAGGCCTACTCTTGTTTATCAGGGCTCATCCTCTTAGACGTTCAAGCATTCTTTAAAAATGTTAAAACATGCACAAAGAAGCCTGCCGCTTACAAAGAAGAACTATGTTATTGTAGTATTAGACGTAAATTAAAATGAGACAAAAATTAGTGAGGGCCGATGGAAAGAACAGGTATTTTTCCGTAAGTGTTGCAAAGCGTAAAGGACTCGAATTAAACATTCACCACATGTCTGCGGGCTTATCCACAGATCACCGCGGAAAGCAGCCGAATAATTTAGTAATTTTTTTGGCAACATGGCTGATTACAAAATACACACAGGCCTTTATTATGGTTTTGTTCTTTAAAGAATAATTCCTGGGGCTGGTACGTATGATTTTAGCCCGAGGTCTGCAAGCTGACGCCCTCTGATCACAGCAGCCTCCTCACCTTAAAGGTAGGCCTTATTTCAATAAGCGCATTTTCATGTCTTTTTGCACCGACCTACAACGGAACCGAAGCGGTCCAAATGTCACAAGCGCTAAAATTGCTCAAATAATTTCGATGATGAGGCCCTGCTTATTATTAAACAGGTAAGGAAAATCACACTTGTGTTGTTTTTCAGTCGGCGCCTGCAGGGATGATTTTGACCGGTCACGGCCAACAGCGCGCGCGCGCGCGCGCACACACACACACACACACACACACACACACACACACACACAAAATCACATGAGAATATTCAAAGGATTTATTTGAAAAGCGTCTAAAAAGCTATTTGACACCAACTCATTTCATTACAGTGAAGCTTCATGAAAGTTTTCTATGAAAATGTAAAATATACTATGTTAAAGATGAATGGTAGTTATGTGCACATTGGATATCCAAGATCAATTTATTATTTTTTCTTAAAATAAGAAATGTTAAAGACGTTTTAAACTCAGAGTCAAACTCTTATCTTTGAGTACAACCCAAAAGGATTTCTTCTCAATAATACTTTTGAATTCAAAGTGCTCAAGTCAATTTTTTAAATAACATCCCTAAAGCATCGAACAGAGTCTCTTCAGTCCAATAAGTTCAATTTATAGAGAAATGTTCAATCCAAGGCTGAATTTCACATCCAAGCCTCAATTCTTATATATTTTTTTAGATCAAGCTCTGGCTGGAAGATATTTGAATGACAAAAATACATTCTAGTTAGTACACTTGAAAAATAGTAAAATTCACAAGCTCTGTACATAAAGTAGCCAGCTTCTGCAAAGGAAACATGCAACATCATGTTCAACCGATGCAAAACATGAAATGGACTTCATTTGATTTGGTCATTACATTAATTCAATAAATGTCCCACTTTGTAATATATACACATATGCACATGAATGTAATTTGCTTTTACAGTATACATTACATACAAAACAGCTTTGCCTACTGATCACATTATGCATAAACTTTTGAGTGATTTAAAGCAAAGCATGGCAGAGGAAAAAAAATCAGCCAAGCAATCATCTTTTGTCTTTGAAGAAGCCTTTCGAGGTGCTGCTCTCCTTGATAGTGACAGTCAGGAAGTTGGTGGTCACGTCTGTCACCAGAACCTTCTCCACATTGCCAAGGGAGGGCCTCCACGTCACCTCATCCATGTCGTCATCTAGTCTGGCGGGAGAAGGCCTGTCCAAGAAGTAAGGCTTCTCCTCTGCAGGGCGAGTAAGGCTCTGGCTCATTTTGGACTGGTGCTTGAAGTGTGCAGGAGCCAGGTAGCTGGAGCTGTCTTTAGTCCTGTGTGAGTCCATGTGCGTTCTGTGTGGATGCAGGCTGCGGTCTGAGTAAAACTGCTTGAAGGAGCCTCCGCCTGAGCTTCCTCGGTTGTGCATGTGGTAGTGATGGTGATAATGGTGGTGGTGAGGGTGTTTGTGGCTGTGACCATGGTTCTCTGGATGTCTGTGGGCCACTCTCACCAGCCTTATCTCTTCATCCCCCTGGTACTTAGCCAGTTTGTGTGGGCTCACCTGCTCCTCTGCTCTCCTCTTGTGGGACTCGGAGACAGCAGGGTTGCTGTCTTTGAAACGGGGCTTTGGCTTTGGGCCTCTTTTTTTGGGTGTGTGAATAAGTCCATCTGGGCTGGTGTGCTGAAGAGAAGGCTGCTGGTGCTCACGGATGCTGAATTCAGGCGGCCGGACACGAACGCTTTCCCCACGGTTGACAGTGCTGGGTGGGAAGATGGTGGGGACGACAGCTCTCAGGCCCTCTCTGGCTCTGGGGGTGACAACTGGCTCTGGGGTTGGGTAGGTTATGTGCATCCCACGCACTGTGTCACTCCTGAACTCATAGGACTTGGCTTTCACTTTCGCCTGGGCCTATTGGAAGGTAAGAAAAAAAGAAAAATACTTCAGATTATTCTGAAATAATTACACCACCCTATTATTATTATTATTTCCTTCTTTTATTTTTTTTTAACTTAACGAGTCAACCTGTGTGAGGCTTTTCAACTTATCGTATTAACAGCAATGACAGAGTGATAACCAGGCAGCACAAAATACCACAAACCCAAATCTAAAGCAGCCCACTAAAATGTTGGCAATCCTAGCACAATTTTTTTTTCACACTTGAGCCTCTGCTACTTTCACATGAAAAACTGACCAAGACTGCTGATTTTCTCTTCATAAATACCTTACAAAGAGTCCAGCTATTATATTCATGCACATCACATCTTTAAATGTGAAAGTTGAGAGTGTTGTTGACAACTGCTGCAGCAAAGGATTTCTGCCAGGCAACAGCATTTATCAGGGAATTTCCCAACCCTGATTTAGCAACAGCCCTGTCAAGGAGACTCTGGTATTCTGTTCAAGATAAACTGTCAGCCATTAAGCGATTTTCACGGTTTGTTGTTCTGAAAAGCTGAAACCTCACAGTGACTGCATCAGGCTCTGATGCTTGACCTAACAGGTTTCACTCACTGAAGACACTTAGAGTACTTCTGCATCTGATTTCAGAGATGCACCCGTTAATGAAAAGGACTCGAAGCTAGTCACTTCAACAGCAGATAATATGCAGGATCTGATGACTGTTTGTCAAAGGGGTTTGAACTGCTTATGGTTTTATGCTGTGTCAACAGTTCTCTATTAGCCAAAACACATGCAGAGTATACACCCTCTAATTGTTGTGCTGTTTTGCATAATCAGAGTTAGCATCAGTAAGGAGGTATGCACATTACAGGTGACAGAGCAGTTCAGTTTTAAACCGATGCTGTAAAACTGGCAGAGAAAGCAGGATACACATACACTAGAGATAGACTGATGAATCTGGCTGATTAATGGCATTTTGACATGATCAGCATAATTTCAGCATTGGCCCTCACAAGGCTGATATCATAATTATCCACAAAAGCGTGTTTCCCCATCATCAATGATGGCATGTCAAACCTTAATGAGACTTTTTATTTTGATCTAAATATTTTTTTCTGTCTTAACACGAAATCCCAAAGTTCTTAGTAGCCACACTCCACGTTTTTTCAACAACAGCATACTTCACTCAAGTCCAGCATTTATGATTCTCATTTCTTAGAGTCAGGATTTTTTTTATGTGCAAACATCGATAACGCGATATTGGCATAATTTATAATTTGGCCATTGAAAAATAGGTATCGGTCAACCAACAGTATACACCAGCCATAATATTATGAATGGTCACCTGGGCACTATCATGTAATTCTACCTCATGAAACTGCTACATTTACAATTTTTGTTGACATGGTCAGAAAGAAGGTGATGAGTGTTTAAATTGAATTTTCATAGTTGGTGGTGTTACATTTAAATTTTCCTGACATATTTAGCTTCCTGATGTTTATGAATGAAGTTTAGTATAAAGTACAATAATCAGCTGTCATCGAAGCTGGATATGCATTAGCTTCCTGAAACTGGTCGAGGTGTAGGGCTGCGTTGCGCTGACCTGCCCTCGTGTAGGTACTGGTATGACAGGTCGATGCAGATATAAAGATATCCTCATGTCATCAGCACCGTGCATACAAACCCGACTAAAATCAACATTTACCTTGAGCAGAAATGTCTTGGGTTTGGGTCCTCTCTTTTTGGGCCCATAGAGCTCCCTCTCACGCTCCCTGTTGAAAATGAAGTGACACCCATTTAGAGAGTCAGGGGAGCAAAGTGCACCAAAGGACACCCTGTATATATACTGAACATGTATACACTCACCGACTCTGACCCCAGTTTATCTTACCTCTGTTCAAACGCCGCAAACAGGCGGGAGTCCAGGATATTTTCCTCCGGTTCCCAAGTGCTGTATCTGTGGATAGAAACAGAAAGACTGAGGAAGAGGGCGCTGACACACACACACACACACACACACACACACACACACACACACACACACACACACACACACTAAGGGGGTGGCCACAGCGTTAGCCCGACAGCTAAAGTCTCCATCGGTCTGCACAGTTTTAATCCGACTGGTTTGCTAGCGTTGATGAGCTAACCACAGCCTTTACTGACTCCTCAGCAGCGGGTTCAAAACATGCAAGAGACACAATGTAACAGCACTTACTTGGGGGACCAGCCCTTCCATTTTACAAGGTACTCAATCCGACCCTGCATGCCATCAGAAACACAAAAATGACTTCATTAGCTCACAGGGCAGCTGTGTTGGTACATTATAGTCCATGCTCTTTGGAAAAACGACGCGCCAAATCTCACGCTCACCTTCCTTATCCTCCGTTTGATAATCGACTCGGCGGCGAACACCCTCTCCCCGACGGCAGACAGCTCCATGTTTACCCCAGCTCTGCCTCCCGCTAGCTCGGTGCGCGCTAACGTTAGCCCAGCAGATATTTTTCTCCCGTCCCAGCCACTCTGAATTCCCGACAGACCATAATACTTCGAGCAGAATGGACGTCAGCGCAATTTTTTATACCGTTGCTAAGGAACCGCAGTCGGTGGAACCTTCGTGAGAACGCCCATTGGCTCAGCCGTTGCTACGTGCTCGGGTTGCTAAGTAAGGGGAGGAGCGCGTGCCTGTGTGAATTCTTTCGGAGGGGGGTAATCTGGCGCTTTGGCCGCGCGGAGGGAAAATCATTTCGCGCAAGTCAAAGGAGATATTCGAAAAAAATACACACGTGATTTTGAAGGTAGTCGAATAGAATTCATGCGCCATACCGCCAAGCAAATAGAGGAACCAGGAAATAAAGCCGCTGTTGGGTTTGTGCAACCCGAGCGACACCGACACCTCTCATTTTTGTTCGTCTATCCAGCACTTTATCTATCTGATGGTACTTTTAGCTCGCTCGACAGAGATTACTATAAATTGGTATTCAACACTCCCTCTTCTTGTAGGCTACAGTAGTCATTGTGAACAAGTTTTATCAACAGTTGTCCGCGTTTATTCGTTTCTCCATGCTGTCTCAGGCCAAATGTGGAGTTTCATTGCTCAGATTTTGACAGTAGACTACCTACTGTCGGCCTGCGCCTCTTCATGAGGAAACATCTGAACACCTCTGTTTGGGTCAATTTAGCAATTAAGACATGCCTGATGTGTTGTCTACTTTAGTAGAAAACTAAAATATCCGCGCATCTGGCCGCTTGATGCCGAGGACCTATAGGAAATTATCCATAAACAGAGAGGTTAGGTTACTATTAGGCCAGAGTAAACAACTTATAAAAAGTAGAGTACCCTATATTAGACGAGTGGAAATAAATTCGCGCAAATTCTTCCATTGATTGTAAGGCTTAATTATTGGGCGTTCAGTGACAATATTTAGGGGTAACAGCCGATTTCATGCAAAAACAACAAAGATCAGCTGATGCTTGTGGACAGATGCGACGGTCGGAAAGCAGATAGGACAAACTCCCCCGCCACACTGTCTGTTATTAAAGGTTTGTCTATTTTTTTTGGTCAAAACGAGATGTTATGATAGGCAACGCTTTGCTTCTGCTTGTAGCCTGAGTTTTTTACTTTGACCATTTAACCTAAACGTCTCATAGAGATAGCCTACTATTCTTTTTAGTTTCTTTGGGGTCTGCTGTTGTGTCGACTATAAATAACAAGTGTGAACAGAAAGAAAAAGGCGAGAGTAAATGAAAGACAGAGGATTTCCCCCAGGAGTTAAACGAAACAAAATCCCATGCATCACGATGCAATTTTGATTTAAAACGATTATTACGTAAACGTAGTTAAGTACACAGAATCAGATCTACTAAAGAGGCGTGCTCTATGAGTATCATCATATGCATGCGTTTAAACAAAACACAAGGACTTAGGGGCTATTACTATTACTACTACTACTACTACTACTACTACTACTACTATTAGTCCAATAACAATAACAATTTTAAATAATATTAATAACAGAAACAACTATTATAATAATGATAATTTCAAATAAAAATAATAATGACAAAAACACTAATAATAATAAAAATAAATAATAATAATAATAATAATAATAATAATAATAATAATAACAAAAACAACTATGATAATAACAATAATAGTAATAATTGTAATTACCATAATTATATTATTATAATTATTATAAGCTTACCAAGAGCACTCGCAGCTTTAAAAACAAAATAGCGGCTAAAATTACAAATGTGTAGGTAAACGTGACCTTTTTTGTTTTTAAAAAAATCTTCGATGCATTGATGAACTTTGAATTTAATGAGTGGAGACAAAAAAATAAATAATAATAATAATAAAAGTAATTGCCTACTGTGTGCAAAGGACCTTTTTTACAAAGCCCAAATCCATGGCAGATTTTGGGGGACTATGGATATGTCTAGTTTTGTCGAGCCCCACTTGTTTTAACAAAGCATACGGTTGTCGTCGAGTGCATATTTTTAATGAGAAAAATCGAGCGTGTCTTTAAATTCTATTCATTGTTCCACAAACACGGTAAGTTCAATTAATTTAAGTCCAGCATGTGGCCTTAATAACCTCTATTTTTGTCGTCTGAAATCCCGGTGATCAGATTCCCACCGCCACAGCAGACAAAAACATTTCTTTTATACATTAGGCCCATAAGCTGACCAAAGTCATCATTGCATTTTAGAGACAAAAATAACGACTTTCCGTTCTAATCAATGAGAAACGAAGGATTTTTATTAAGATGAAACTGTTGATTATAACCTTTTTATCCGTTAACATGATTCTGAATTCATTACCGACGTTATACCCCTGCAAAATGACTCGGACGGACGTCTTCTTTTCAACAACACGCTTTGATTTCTCTTGACACGTCAACACCAATGTTAATGGAAAATGTGCATTGTCAGCACAAAAAGCAAAACGCCATGCGAGACTCAAAATAAAGGCTATTCTGGGATAACCACAGAAATCCCCTTATAGGCCTACAGTTACTCTGGCGAGGTGTACGTTGGTTTGATGCAGGCGGTCAATATTGTAATAAAAATACATCTGACGCTTGTTTCCAATGGACCCTCCCGACGCTGCAGTATGAAATCCTCTTAATTTGTTACTCAGGTGAATAAACCACCGAATAATTTCCTAATAACTTGAAGGATACATTTTTTGTAGGCATTAAAAAGGAAATCCATCTTTACAACACATTTACTCCAATCATATAGGCTGTGCGTATAGGCCTAAAATATGCTGTCTGATATGTCTGATTATGCTAGTTCAGGCCGAACTTTGTTCTGTGAGGACCAAAGTTGAAGTCACAGAGTGAAAGATCCCAATTTGATTTGGGAGAGTGTAAACATTGGCTCATGGTCTGCCTCACAGATGAAACCTCGCATCTAAAACGTGAACAGGTGCAGCATTTTTGTGTTTGTTAATAACAATATGTTAGCCTTCAGATTTGATGTCACACTCTATGGTCGCTTTGTCGTTTTCTGTATTCTTGTTTTCCTCGGTGCGCTTTTACGCAGACTGAGGGGAGGACAAGCGCGCCCCAGACTCAGGATGCGATTGGTCTTGGCGCGCCTGCAGTGCAGCAGCGCTGCCGCCGTTTAAACTCGATTGGTTGGCTTGTATCCGGGCAAGACGTGGGTCCCTGTTAAGACAATTAACCTGGAAACCACCGTCGCAGCGGGAAGAAATTGATATCGAAGTAAAAAAAATTAAACCTTAACAGGAGTATAGATACAGTGAAGGAAAATCATTCGCTCATATCAGGGTAATCCGATTGGATTTTGTGAGATGTATGATGAAAAAGCAAAGGTGCGCATATCAATACCCCATGCGATTTAAATCAAACAGACGGGTCTTTTAGCTTGGTTTGAATCGACATCATGTGATTTTTAAATGTAGCCCACAGCGCATGAGGCGGGGCAGTGTGATTCAGGTGATTATCTAACAACGTTTTTTTGCTTTCGGTTTCTGATGAAGGGACGCTTTTCTCTCACTCACAACTTTTTTTTAGGATAATTTGTTTTTGAAGTCGGCAAAATCTTCTTTGAGTTAGCCTTCCCCCAAAAGTACCAAACGCGCAGGCTCATACCAGGTCCTCAGGGCGCTGAGTGATCCATTTTGCTGTGTGCCATGCACGGCGTTCACACGCAAAAAAAAATCCTAAAAAGCAAAGAGACGTTCATCTTTATATAAACACGTATCTTTGCTGATTTGGGTGGCCGTTTGTGGATTGGTTTGAGCCATATTAGCATATTTGTTGTTTTGGAGCCAATTCAAATGAGGGGGCCACTCACGAATCCATAACCAGTCAGAAACGACTTTGGCAGGGAAGATTCTTTTCCCTCTTAGAAAATTAAGCGAGTATGAGAAACTGCCTTTAGCTGGGAGATTATCTACAACGATCAGAGCGAATGAAGTGAACTTCAGACTGGCTGAGGAATCAGAGTTTTGCCTCCACGTTTAATCAGACAAACGTGGAGGGCAACAATAAAGTCTACAGAAACAGGGAGCCTAAATGGATTTGGGTTGAGTAACCATGCAGATTTATTCGCCGTGTGAGGGTTGGTCGTCAAAAGAAATAAAATAATCTTAAAATAACCATGCGCTCAGGAGCGGGCAGTTCTCGTTCTCAACCTAACTGGAAATCCATCAAACAAGTTTTGGACACTGCAAAATGGGATATGTAGCATATTTTGAGTGCGGTGTTAGTGGATGACTTTTTGTCTTTTTCAAAATGGATTTGACTTGTTGAAAGGAAACTGAGACCTGTAACCCGCAGTCCCAACATTTGAGTTGCGCCCACAGGTCTGAGGCTCCTTAGTCACCAGTTAATTTGGATCGCGTGCTCATATTTATTCGGGTATTGCAGAATTATTTGGAGGTGTTGTAGGTATATTTGTGACTTCATTAGACTACTATGCAGTTAAAATCTGTGTAATTATTCATAGGCCTACCGAGACAGATCAAACAGAAATTAACCCCCCTGTCTTTGTCAGAAGCACCAATCTTTATCAAAAATATTTTCTTGACCTTATCTGCTGTTTGAAATCCACAGAACATTATCTGTCATTATATCGGTGTGTTAAATCCACGGTGTTAAAGCCCATTTCTGGCCTGTGCACGCACATGTATTGAGCACAAGCAGGCGCGCGGAGGGAAGAGGAAAGGGGGGCAGATAATAACGAAGACACCATTGTAGCCTACTTTTACTGACCCTTCTTGGTTCAGTCTTCGGGGGAAAATATCATACACTTATGCGGAATTTTGCTGTTTTATAACCCATAAACAGGTCACTAAAGATTTCTTTGGGGGACTAAAGAAATAAAGTGGTGTAAAATCTATCGGGGAGTTTTCCGCCGCAGCATCTCTGCTGAAGCCTCGTGCGGTTATTTGTTGGCTACAGCAGCGGCAAGTCGTTTTACACAGACACGAGAGAAAAGAAAGTGGATGGAGCAGAGGCAGGACAGCCATTTTCTCTGTCGTTTGCTAACATTATCGAGAGCAGAAAGCGCTTTTATTGGCGGGCTGCAA